ATATTTCTACTGTTCTGTGTTTCTGAGTCTTTGTCTTGAAAGTTTAAAACTTTTGTATTGTACAGACAGAAGTTGGAATTAACTTCCTATTCAACTTTCCCTAAAATTGGTTTTCAGTTTATGCATGTTTTGTATAAATAGAATGATTCAATTTCAGTTTATGCATGTTTTGTATACTCATTGGAATATTATATATTGTCGAACTCAATTCGTTGTATTCGTATATAGTTGATATTTTAATGCAACTCTTTAATTTGTATGGGTCCTGCGCTCTTCGGTATGAGTTTCGACGTCGTCAACCGATATCCCTCTTTTATTTGTTTTCTCTTGTTTTTCGGCGATTTCATTGTTACTCAGATTATAAGAGTAAGGGTTGAATGAGTCTAAGAAGAAATTATCACCGTTGGAGTACAATCGGAGACCCCCCCAAGTTCCATCGTATATCGGAGACCTCAAGATTTTCATTAAAGCTATTTATCGGAGACCCCCAGATTTCCTCCTTTTTCATCTGAAACGCTAATGAATTCATCGTATACCTTGATTTCAGGCGTACAGCTTTCAAAAATCAAAAGAATATTTTCAGTACACTCACATTTCTTAGTTTGAATCTACTGGGTTAATCGAAAATTTTATTTACTTAAGTCGAAGGATAGAGTTTAGCCGAAGATGGTTATCCAAAGATGTCAGTTTCTTGTACTTAATTCGAAGAAATTGGCTTGGAAGTCGAAGATTAGGGGTAAACCGAATATTCGTATTTTTTCTCGAAAAATCAAGAATCACGCAACCTCTCATATTAAAAATAATAAAGATTATCACACCTTTCACACATTTTACGGTAATAAAATCTAATGAAACAGTAGAGAGAAACATGTACAGTTTAGAAAAAGATAGAGCATGATAAAGCAGGATAGAATTGGATAGAGATAGATAAAACATTATAGAACGAAAAAGAACCTAATAGAACAGGAGAGAGTAGAACAGAAAAGAAAATAACATAAGAACAGAATCGAACAGAATAGAATGGAATCGAACAGAAAAGAATCGAACAGAATAGAATGAAATCGAACAGAATAGAATCGAATAGAATAGAATAGAATCAAATAGAATAGAATCGATAGAACAGGATAGAACAGAAAGTAATAGGCTTGGACTGGAAAAAACAGGATTGAACAGAATATAATAGAATAGAACATAAAAAAACAGAATAGAACAAGATAGAACAGGATAGAATTGGATAGAACAGGATAAAACTGGATAGAACTGGAAAGAACAGAATAGAACATAATGAAACAGGATAGAACAGGATAGAACTAGTTAGAAACAAATAGAACAGGATAGAAACAAATAGAACAGGATAGAACAGAATTGAACAGGATAAAAGGGTGTAGAACAAAATAGACAGAATAGAACAGAATAGAACATGATAGTACAGGATATAACAAAATAGAACTGCATAGAATGGGAAAGAACAGTATAGAACAGAATAGAACATAATAGAACTGGATAAAACAGGATAGAACAGGATATAACAGGATAGAACAGTATAGAACAGGGTAGAACTGGATAGAACAGGATAAAACAGAATAGAACGAACTATAACCGCATAGAACAGGAAAGAACAGGATAGAAACAAATAGAACTGGATAAACAGAATAGAAAAGATTAGAACAGGATAGAACAGGATTGAACAGAATTGAACGGGACGTAATACATGTTTTGGAAAAGGACAAAACGTTTTGATTTGGGAAATGATTTCTTCTAACAGCGTAAAAAAGATAGAAATGTTTAGAGCATGGCTTGAACTATATATTTGACAGGATAGTACCGGAAGGAACAGTAGGAACAAGATAGAAAAAAAAAGATAGGATAAATAAGAAGATAGAATGGGATACCCTAACAGGATATAATAGGATATTAAAGCAAAACACTTGTTAACTAAAAAAAACAATAAAAAGTTAAATCTCAACTCATTCATTAGTTCCCATTTTAAATATTACAAATGTTACCCTTGTTTCCTTATGTTTTGGATCCATTTTCGTTAAAACTTTATTAACCTTAATTTTTTGATCAATTTTACCCCTTGTTTTTAATCAGGTTATCTGTAAAACAATTTTCTATTCGGTTTAGTTTGCATTTTTACCAAACATATCATTTAAATTTCAAATTCACTTAATAACAATATAAAGGTGCAGAATTATGTTATTTGTTTCATAATAATAACAGGGTTAAAGTTCGAGTTTACTCCAAAATAATATAAGGTCTGAAAACTTACTGGGTCAAGCAAACATTTTTTCTGCAATTATTTACTTAAGTCGAAGGATGGAGCTTATCAAAAGATGACATTTTCCTGTAACTAATTTGAATAGAAAGTGTCGGAAGTCTCCATATTGCCAAAAAGAGGAGAACCTGAGGAGAATCTGGAGAGAACCTGAAGGAAATCGGGAGAGAACCTAGAGAGAACCTGGAGAGTGAGTTTGCCACAACTTCAACAAGAAATCTGAAGATTCATGTTGAAAATAAGCATGAAGGAGTGAGATATCCCTGCTCTCAATGTGAATATTCGTCAACTTCAGCAAGTAACCTGAAGGTACATGTTGAAGCTAAACATGAAGGAGTGAGATATCCGTGCCCCCAATGTGAATATGCTGCAACTACAGCAAGATTTCTAAAGAGACATGTTGAAAGTAAACATGAAGGAGTGAGATAGCTACTCAGAAAGGAGTTCTGAAAAAACATTTAAAAAAATAAACATAAATGAGTTCAGATATCTCTGTTCTCATTGCAATCATGCTGCAAAAGAATTTCACACAAATTTACTATGACTGAGGGCTATCAAACATTTAATTTTTTGGTTTTGAACTTGTTACATAAATAAAATGTTATAACCGTAAGGTCACAATTGTAAGATATTTTTAATTTTTAATCGTTAAAGATTTTTTTCTTCATTTAAAAAAAAAATATTTGTGTATTATCTATAATTTGGCTCTAACCTGGTATTAACAAAATTATTTTTTTCTCATAACTAAATTTGATGAACCAAACATGTTAAAAAACTTACCAGAAGCTGCAGAGAAGAAACTAGTGGAAATATTCAACAATGTCCTCATATCAGGATGTGTACCCGAAGACTGGGAAATAGGGGAAGTTGTCCTTGCTTTAAAAAAAAATCCACCTACATGCATAGAAAATTATCGGCCAATAACTCTAATCTCTTGCATAAGTAAACTTATGACCAAAATAATTGCAAAACGAATATCTGCAGCAGTGGAATCTTCGCAAATTTTGGGCCCAGAGCAGCAAGGTTTCAGAAAAGGGAGAAGATGTGAAGATAACATATATCTTATCAACTCAATACTAACTAAAGCTGAACAGAAGAAAGCTGTCACCCACCTGCTTCTCCTAGATCTGAAAGAGGCGTATGATAGAGTTGATTGGATGATTTTGTATAAGAAGCTATCGCAGCTGAACTTCCCTGACTCATTCATAGACTTCCTCAATGACTATTTAGTCATGACTTCATAACATCCTCTACAGCAGGATCAGCAACTCAGAAGTTGTATTTGACACGTGGATTAAGACAAGGTTGAAATCTGTCTGCAATTCTATTTATAATTTAACTGTCGGAGTTAGGGAACAGCCTAAGGAAGGCGAATGTAGGAATACCAGTTTACAATAATATCCTTCTGTCATTTCTAAAGTTTGCTGATGATCTGGTTATGTTTAGTAGTTTATGGTCGGAGATAAGGATCTTCGTAAAAATTTTAGAGAAGTGGGGGCAGGATTTTAGAATGGTTATATCATTATCCAAAACTAAGGTGGTAACTCCAGATAAGAATCTACTCTGGAGGATCTTGAACCTTGAATCAGGGAGATATGAAGAGGTAGAAAGACTCCAGGAGTTTAAATACCTAGGAATCTTGCAAAAGTATGGAGTCAACTCAACAATGGTATGCAATGCCGCAAATAAGATAGAAAAGGCTAGGCTTTATCAAAGGAACATCTTGAGAATGAGACGACTAATACCAGATAGGATAGAGGTGTATCTAGCTATGTGGAACAATGTGGCTATTCCAAGTATCATATATGGACTGGAAGCTATTCCCTTTGATAAAAAACAAAAAGATGACCTGGAAGCTATTCAAATTGCTCTTGGTAAAAGCATACTTGGAGTTAGGCATTCCATGCCGGGTCTAGTCATCTATACAGAGCTAGGTTTAAAACCAATAGATCTGCTATTTTTAATTATTATTTTTAATATGAGAGGTTGCATGATTCTTGATTTTTCGAGAAAAAATACGAATATTCGGTTTACCCCTAATCTTCGACTTCCAAGCCAATTTCTTCGAATTAAGTACAAGAAACTGACATCTTTGGATAACCATCTTCGGCTAAACTCTATCCTTCGACTTAAGTAAATAAAATTTTCGATTAACCCAGTAGATTCAAACTAAGAAATGTGAGTGTACTGAAAATATTCTTTTGATTTTTGAAAGCTGTACGCCTGAAATCAAGGTATACGATGAATTCACATTGAGAGCAGGGATATCTCACTCCTTCATGCTTATTTTCAATATGAATCTTCAGTTTCTTGTTGAAGTTGTGGCAAACTCCCATGAAAATATGTCTGTTTGTATTAACGTCTGTGTGTATATATGTCTGGGTGTATATATGTATGTATGTGAATATGTCTGTACGTATATATGTCTGTGTATAAACATTAATTATTGTATGTAGGTTATTTTTGATGAAGACTCGGCACTGCCTTCTACGGATTTTGTAGTAAATTTCATAATGACAATTTCTAGGAAGAACATGAAAAAGTATTTTTTTTTTTGGTTTTTTTTTACCAGAAAGATTTCAATCGGCCTTGTGTCAATGCAGGTGGCACTCTAAACCATGTACAATTTAAATATAAACCATTTATGACTTAATTCCGTAATTCATTTGAACTTTTAAAATGTTAAACTTAAAGTTTACAAGATTAAGAATTCTTAGTTTACCTTGTATTTCTGTATTTTCCTGCTTTATATCATCTTCAGGTATTTTAACAAAACATGTATCCTCAATAGTAGAGGTTATCTCAGATTCCTTGACATCTACTTCTTTCTTCAAAATCTCTGTTATTCTATCTGAAAAACAATAAACATTTGGTAAAACATTTCCTTCTATTAAACTGAATACATATTGCTCAAATGAGATAATTTAATTAATGTTTATAGTTTATGTTTTGATGTCTCCAAGGACCCTATCTTAAGGTATTATTGAAGAATACAGATTATTAATTGTTGACAAACAAACTTCATTTGTAACGATATATAAGGCTGCACTTTTGGTTTTTGTCTTTCTTAGGATTCATATCATTCTTTATTTATATATTATTAATACTCTTATATTTCAGCACTTACACCTTTTTTCATCCTTAGAAATATTAAGCATATCAAATAAACTACACCAATTCCTATTTTAATTTCCTGCTATTGAAATCAATACATTTTTGGTTCATCAAATTCAGTTTTGGGCATAAAATAATTTTGTTTATACCAGGTTAGAGCCAAAATAGATAATACACAAATATTTTTTTCAAAAATGAATAAAAAATCTCAAACGATTAAAAATTAAAAATATCTTACAATTGTGACATTAGGGTTATAACATTTTATTTATGTGACAAGTTCAAAACCAAAAAATTAAATGTTTGATAGCCCTCAGTCATAGTAAATTTGTGTGAAATTCGTTTGCAGCATGATCACAGTGAGAACAGAGATTTCTGAACTCATTTATGTTTATTTTTTTTATTTTTTTTTTCAGACCTCTTTTCAGAGTTGCAGCATATTTACATTCAGGGCAAGGATATCTCGCTCCTTAATGTTTACTTTTAACATGTCTCTTCAGATTAATTGCTGCAGTTGCGACAAACTCACATTGTGGGCAATAATATCTCCACCCTTCATGTTTACTCTCAACATGAATCTTCAGCGCATCTGCTCTAGTTGCAGCGAACTCACATTTTGGGCATGGATACCTCACTCCATTGTGTTTACTTTCAACATGTCTCTTCAGATTACTTTCGTCAGTTGCACTATATTCACATTGAGAGCAGGGATACCTCAATCCTTCATGTTTACTATTAACATGTCTCTTCAGATCCCTTGCTGAAGTTGCGGCATGTTCGCATTGAGAACAAGGATATCTCACTCCTTCATGTTTAATTTCAACATGTTTCTTTAGATTACTTACGTCAGTTGCACTATATTCACATTGAAAACAGGGATATCTTACTCCTTCATGTTTATTTTCAAAATGTCTCTTCAGAGAACTTGCTTTAGTTGCAGCATACTCACACTGAGAGCAAGGATATCTCACTT